TGGAGATGGTTCGGCGCTGATGGCGGCACTAGGTGCGGAGGAGGAACGGTGATGCAGCGATATGCGGTGGGCACGGAAGAACCGTGGTTGAGGAAAGCGGGGAAGATGAGAGGTGGAAATGAGGAGGAAGGAAGAAGTTCACAACTGCTGGAAATGTGACGTGAGGAATCAGCAGCTACTAGAAGTGTTGTGCGGGGAATTACAGGTTGGAAGAGGAGTGCATTCGGTGCACGTTCAGTGGAACCGAACTTAGTGTCGGTTTCGGTGCCAAGCCAACGCGGAGCGCGTTCAGTTTCGGTGGAGTGCGACTTGGGGTGACTCGAGGCGCACACGTTACAGCGAGACGCACGCATTGTTACGAAGCACGATGAAATCCGAAATGCATATATGTGTTGTTTCAGTTTGTGCTTTGTATCTCATTCCGAATTATTGGATTCAGAAAATTGCTGCATCTCGTATTGACGACTTTCAGCTACTCTGAGCATACCGTTGGAATCGTGAGATCAAGGAGATCGATAAGTAGCCTAGCCAGAGGCGCTTGTCGACTAAGAGCTGGTATCAGAGCCTCGTTATAGACACGCTTCGTTGCGTGTAAGAACGCTTAGTGCGCTAAGTGCAGTTTAGTGGTTAAAGGAGAGGAGTGAAACCTACGTCATGAGTCGTGACGAGGTTAGTTCGGGATCCAGCGTGAGCATTGGAGACCCGCATGTGCAAGCTCTCCTTGAGGTCCTCGCGAAAGGGCAACTAGTGGCGAAACCGACGATAGGGCTTAGCGAAGCCCAACGATTCAATGGGAGTCATTACACGACGTGGCGACTCAAGTTCATTCGGCGTGCAGAGGAGGTCGGCCTCTGGTCATTCTACCATCCGGATCAAGAGACAAAGGAAGGTGTACCACCAACTGAGACAGAGCCACCCGAGAAAATAGCGGTATATAAAAAACAAAGTAAGCAAGCATTTTTCCAGCTCTGTCATTCGGTTGCAGACAGCATTGCTGTGGGGCTGGATGATTTTGCAGGGGAGTTGAACTCGGCACAGTTAGCATGGGAGTATATGGAATCGGCGTACATGGGTGTTACGGATGCCGATAAATCTGCGGAAAGGAAGAAGCTGCTGCTGTTGAGCATGGAGAAGAATGAGAGGGTGATAGACTACATAAATCGGGCGAAGAGCTACAATGATAACCTGAGGGCGATGGGAGCTCCAGAGAAAGAGAGGGAGATGATTGGCTATATTGTCGAGGGATTGCCTAAGGAGTGGGAGTCGGACATACATATGTTCACCTACTCACCACCCGCAAGCATGACAAAGCTACTGGAGGCATTGCAAGCGTTGGAGAGAGTAAGGGCTACAAGGAAGCTGAAAGAAGCAACAGCAAAGGGAGTTGAGGAGGAGAAACCTGCAATAGTTAATGCAACGGCAGCTGCACGGAGAGTATTTGGGGAGTGCTACCATTGTGGAAAGAAAGGGCACAAGGCACTCGATTGCTACGACAACCCTCGGAGCAGAAACTTCAGGGGGAAAGCTGGATATGGTGGTGGTGGCAACAGCAATGGAGGGGCTGGTGGAGGAGGTAACGGAGTAGCATGGCAGCAGCGAAGAGGGTTTGGGGGAAACTGCAACTACTGCAGGAAGTTTGGCCACAAAGCGATAGAGTGCTATGCTAACCCAAACAGCATGAGCTATAGAGGGCAGCAGCAAGTGCATCTTCAGCAGCAGCAACAACAAAGAGCACCTGCAGCAAAGGTTAACACGGTGGAAGCAGAGAAACGGGATGAAGATGTCATACTCAGTGGTTCACACAAGGCAAACGTGGCAATGGCATCAGCGGTGTGCTTGCTGGCCAAGGGGCTAGAGGAAACTGCATGGTTCATGGACAGCGGCTGCACCCAACATATGACTAACAGGTCAGAATGGCTGAGGGGGCTGAGAGAGTCATGTGTTCCTTATGTGCTTGTTGGAGATGAGGGCAAACTGACAGTGAAAGGAGAGGGGGATGTAGTCCTGCAAGGACCGTACGGAGAGTTGAAGTTAGAGAGAGTGCTGCTGGTAGAGAGCCTAGCGCTAAACCTCATAAGTCAGTCACAGTTGGATGGTATGGGGTGTAAGACATTGAGTGACCAGGGGAAGATGTGGGTATTTGGGTCAGATTGGAAAGTGATAGCTGAAGGGAGGAGAAACCAAGGGCTTTATGAGATGAAGCTGAGAGAGAAAGTCATGAGTGGAGCAAAAGTTACCTATCAGCCAGAGCCTGAGGAAGGGGTCATGGCAAGAGAGGAGCTGATGGCAAAGGTAAAGTTACCTGGGGGAAAAGAGAAGGGGATCATGGCGATGGCAGCAGCAGCAGAAAAGGTGGAGATTGGGACTATGCATAGGAGGATGGGACATGCAAGTATGGAGCGAGTGAAGGAGGTAGTTCAGAAGGAGATGGTAAAAGGAGTGGTGCTAAAGGATGGAGAGAAAGACAAGGGGAAATGCGATAAGTGCATTGAAGGGAAGCAGACTCGAGCATCTCATCCCAAGCATAAGGTAGAAGAGGAAGGCTATGGGGTAATGGAGATAGTTGCAGCAGACGTGTGTGGCCCTATGAGAGTTCCTTCAAGGCATGGCAGCCGATACTTCGTTACATTCACAGATTTGGGGACTAGGCATACGTGGGTAACAGAGATGAAAGAGAAGGGGGAAGTATTTGGGTGCTTCAAGGAATGGAAGGCGGAAGCAGAAAGGCAAAGCGGGAAGAAGCTGAAAGTCTTGAGGACGGATAATGGAGGGGAATTCATGAGTAAGGATTTCAGCAACTACTTGAAGAGCAAGGGGATAAGGAGGCAGCTGACTGTACCCTATACCCCACAGCACAATAGTATCGCAGAGAGGGTCAATAGGTCTCTACTGGACAGCGTAAGGAGCATGCTAGCTGACAGCGGATTACCTTTGAGGTTTTGGGGAGATGCGCTAGGGATGGCTTGCTGGGCAAAGAACCGATTGCCTACAAAGGGGCTTGCAGCGGATATGACTCCACACGAGGCATTTTATGGGAGGAAGCCGAACCTACAGTTTGCAAGGGTATGGGGATGCATGGTGCAGTATAGGGAGCCAAATGGACCAGACCACAAGTTGCTGCCAAGGACCAAGTGGGGCATCAACCTCGGGATCTGCCCTGTAAGTAAGGGTTGGGTAATCAAGGATGTGGAGAATGGGAGTGTGGTGGCGACAAGGGATGTGATATTTTATGAGAGTGTGAACTATCTGGAGTGGAAGGGTGTGGACAAGGACATGAGCTCAACTACAGGGGAGTTGGCTGCACCTAGCGCTATAGAGGAGATGATGGAGGAGCATGCAAAGGAAGGGATTGGAGCTGCAGATGAGGATGAAGAAAGTGGGATGAGAACGGATCAGCCTGGAATGACAGCTGAATGGGTGTGGGAGAAATTACCTAGTGAAGCTGAGGAGATACCAGAGATAGTGCAGCAGGACGGGGATGAGGAAGTGGAGATTGAGCAGCAGCAGGAAAGAGCAAGAGAGTCCGTCACTGAAGATAATGATCCGTGGCACTTGCTGGAAAGTGAAGACTCAGATGAAGCAGCAAGGAAAATTGGTGAACTGCTGGAGGATGGAGCTGTAGTGATTGGAAGGGAGGCAGCCGACAGTGAGACCGATAATGAGGAGAATGGAGCAGAGGTTAGCAAGGCAAGTGGGGGGACAGCAGCTGAGGAATTGGGAAGGGGCAAGAGGGTGAAGAAGCGGAATGCAAAGTATGTTCAGCTACTCATGACATGCTGGAAGAATGTCCACACACACCTGCTACTCACAGTAAGTGCAACCGCCTTGGTGAGCAAGGCAACGAGAGAAAAGTATAATCTGCCAAGTGAGCCTGTTACAGTGGAAGAGGCATTGAGTGGGCCTCATAGTAAGCAATGGAGAGCAGCCATTCAGGAAGAGCTGGATACCTTGGCAGAGAGGGGCACCTGGGAGTTAGCTCGTATGCCGGTGGGGAGAAATGCAGTGGGAGTAAAGTGGATCTTCAAAATAAAGACGGGAGACTTTGGACAGTTGGAGCGGTTCAAGGCAAGGCTAGTGGCTAAGGGGTATACCCAGGTCGAGGGGGAAGACTATAATGAGACCTATGCCCCCGTGAGCAAGCTTACAACAGCAAGGGGGCTGCTGAAGGTGATAGCGGCGAGAGGGTATTTCCTAGTGCAGCTGGATATTAAAAACGCCTTCCTTTATGGGGTATTGAAGGAGGAAACTTACATGGACCAGCCGCCGGGGTTTGAGGATGGAACGGACAGGAAGTGCAAGCTGATACGGGCACTGTATGGGCTGAAGCAGAGTCCACGGGAGTGGTACAAAGTGATGGATGAGCGGCTGATGAAAGGGGGATTCACTAAGAGCGAGTGTGATAGGGCATTCTACTGGAAAGGAGAAGGGAAGCAGAAAGTATTTCTCCTACTTTATGTGGACGACATATTGGTAACGGGAGCTGTGAAGGAAGAGGTGGAGAAGGTATGTGCTCACCTAGCAGAGGTATTCCAAGTGAAACAGATCCCTCGAGCGACGCTGTTCTTGGGCATGAATCTGGAGAGGAATGAGGGAGAGAAAAAACTATTTCTCTACCAACAAAAGTATTGTCAGCGGCTGCAGCAAAGGTTTGGAGGGAACTACACCAAGGCAATAGCAACACCTCTCAGTGGAGCCGCAGAACAGGACGGTGAGAGAGAGGAGGATGCTATCAAGTGGGGTAGTGAGAAGAAGGCGCTGAAAGCATACCAATCAAGGGTGGGATCAGTCATGTACCCGGTGTCGTGCACACGGGTAGACATGGCATTTGCAGCAAGCTATTTGGGGCAAAAGGTGCAGCAGCCAGAGGGGCGCAAATGGAGGGAGATGGACCGAAGTATAAGTTACCTACTTCAGCACGAGAAGGAGGGGTTGCTGTTCGAGGGAGGAGAGGAGACGTTGGAGTTAGTGGGATATGCAGACGCATCACATGCCTCGGACAAAGAGACACGAAGGGGAGCATTTGGGTATGTATACCTACTTGGAGGGACAGCGATCATGTGGCAGGCCAAGAAGTTAGCAGATATAGCCCTATCAAGTGCAGAAGCCGAGTACATGGCACTCTTCTATGCGTGCCAAGCGGGGGTTTGGCTGAGGCGTTTGCTCAAGGAGCTCGACATTGAGGTAAAGGGACCAACAGTGATTCGAACGGACAGCACATCGGCTATAGACTTGGCGCGGAATGACAATTGGCATGGGCGAACAAAACATATGGATGTGAAGTACCATTGGGTGCGGGAGCAGCTGGAGAAGAAGACCTTCACATTTGAGCATGTGCGGACAGAAGAGCAAGCAGCGGACTTCTTGACCAAGAACTTACCGAGGGTAAACTTTGAGCATTGCAAGGAGTTGGTTGGTATTCGTACCATTGCAGCATTGCAGGGGAGTGAAGGACATGAAAAGAAGACCTAGAACTAGAAGACTTCGAAAACAGGGGATAGTATGAAGGCATAAGGACTTAGGGTTTTGTGAAGTTGGTGTGATTGCATGGCATAGGCTTGGGGATAGGTTTGACAGCCCCGAACCACAGGGGAGGTTGTTGGAGATGGTTCGGCGCTGATGGCGGCACTAGGTGTGGAGGAGGAACGGTGATGCAGCGATATGCGGTGGGAGCACGGAAGAACCGTGGTTGAGGAAAGCGGGGAAGATGAGAGGTGGAAATGAGGAGGAAGGAAGAAGTTCACAACTGCTGGAAATGTGACGTGAGGAATCAGCAGCTACTAGAAGTGTTGTGCGGGGAATTACAGGTTGGAAGAGGAGTGCATTCGGTGCACGTTCAGTGGAACCGAACTTAGTGTCGGTTTCGGTGCCAAACCAACGCGGAGCGCGTTCAGTTTCGGTGGAGTGCGACTTGGGGTGACTCGAGGCGCACACGTTACAGCGAGACGCACGCAGTGTTACGAAGCACGATGAAATCCGAAATGCATATATGTGTTGTTTCAGTTTGTGCTTTGTATCTCATTCCGAATTATTGGATTCTGAAAATTGCTGCATCTCGTATTGACGACTTTCAGCTACTCTGAGCATACCGTTGGAATCGTGAGATCAAGGAGATCGATAAGTAGCCTAGCCGGAGGCGCTTGTCGACTAAGAAGCTAGTCGTCCGCAGTGCCTACCAGCTCGTCGCTGGCCAGCTTGCCACTGCGACTGCCACTGCCGCTGCAGCCACAGTCAGCCGCTGCCACTGCTGCTGCTGTCGCCGCCACTACTGCCAGTAGTGCCTCTCCGCGGCAGCCACTACCTCTGCCACTGCAGCTACTGCCGCTGCCACTGCTACAGTTGCCACTGCATCCCAAAAATTAGGGTGGCAAATTGTTACCCCCAAGACTACCGCAAGTGACCTTGGGAATTCGCGCCAGGGGGTGACCCTGGGGCTTCCGACTGGGTCACCTCGGGAAAACTAGCAGCCAGAAAGCCTTTCGAGGTAACCCTCAGGATACCCTTGTGAGGTCACCCTCGCGACACCAACTTGACACCTTCGGGTGCATTGGGGGGATCATGAGGTGGACCTTTTGAGGGGTCTTATCTTCGTCAAACTGTGAATGCGTTTGGGTGAAGGAAGGAGTACACTCGGGCGAGAACATGATGAACCTTATACGCAAACCGATAGCACACCCAATCCTCGTCACTGGCGTCCTGATACGAAAACTCACTACAGTGTACATATCAACTGTTTAATTACCTCCCTCGATAATCGCACAGCCACTACATTAACGGGTCTATTTGTAACTACGACATTACTGTAGCAGTAAGGGCAGCTTCGTTGCGTCCCATGATAGAACTCATTAATATGCACATATAATTATTCCAAAGATTGGCTTACCACCTATACAATTAGTTTTATCACAACACAACGCATGCAAAACAAGGTGGTAAATTTAGCTGCAATTACCTAGGGTTTTGAGCAGATTAATTCTCCTAACGCTAACTTGGTGTATTAGCTACGCCTGCACCTCTTTCCCGGCCTACACGGATGGCAGCCAGAAGGCTGAGCTGTAAAACCACAATCACGGCCCAGCAAACAACAGCAAGCACTGCTGCTGCATGGCCATCTGGCTGGTAGCCGCTCGCTGCACACACGAACATTATCAAGCACAATATCAGGTGTGAAAGAGTGGCCTGCATCCACCCCTGCAAAGGCCCGTGTAAGTCTGGGTTTGAAACGGTTTAAAACACCAAGCAATTCCACGCAGACGTCCACTTACCCCCTGGCAGTTGTACGAAATCACCAACGAATGAAGGCCAGATATACAGGGAGGGGAGGGGGAGGGGGGGATGGGAGGGGTTTACAATGAGGATGGCGAGGAAAGAAGGGGAGACAAAGGCTGTAAGGTAAAGAGCATGAAACAAAGTGCCAGTCAAATTTGGGGGGAAACAGAGTGCGGCAAGAAGGACGGAAGGAGTGGTGGTTGGGGGGGGGGGGGGGGAGAGGGGGAAATGACGAGAAGGATCCGGGCACGAGGAGGGCAATGGGGAAGTGCTACAACTGTACCTGAATACGGCGAGGAGCCTCTTGAGCTTGATAGGGACGCGCGACGAGCACCGCGAGAAGCTCGCGCGTCTCACCCGAAATGCACCAAGATCCCCTCATGCGTCCCGCCCAAAGTGCATCGTGAACGCTTACGCGCCCGACGTGCACCGCGAGAAAGGCCTAGGGAAACGGTAAGGATGGAAAGTACGGGAGGAAGATTGGAAAACGAAAAAGCTCTTGGAAACAGAAAACTTACGTAGAACAAGCACACATGAGGAAGAGCATCTGGGAAAAAAATTCGAGAAACTGAGGATTAGACAGTTGCAGTTGTGCATGTCGCTGAAAAATGCATACTACGCAGCGTTGGGCACGTTTCTGTCTAGGTAGAATGCTTGTGCGGGAAGAACGTATACTAGTAGAAGGAAGGGAGGACAAAGAAAGATAATGGGTTTTGTTGGTTGAGTCGCCAGTATATGTGTGACTGGGATTCGTTGACACAGCCAGGTGTTCATATCTGGGTCGTATACAGTGCATAGAATAGAAACGAAATCTCGTACGAAAAGAGACACGAAAACGAGTAGTTTCACATCACGTGAACCGTGTATTGATGGTGCCGAGTTTTTTTGTACCTGAAGCCCAGTACGCTGAACACGGCCCACAATTTCTGGATACACGGACGACCTTGGATAAGTCAAGAAAATTACCAATGGGCATGAACTTAGCGATGCATTCATTGGTCAGCTCGTCGAGGTTGACCCATCACTTTCATACCCTATAATACAGGTTTCGTCAAGAGACAAACGCCATTCTCTTGTTCTGTCCATCATATTCGACAGTTCTTCACCCAATTCGCTTTCCCGAGGGCTCTTGAACTTGTCGTCTAGCCTGAGGGTTCAGGCTCGACTAGTGTCTTGGTTCGGGCCCAACCTGTGAAGTTACCTGCGGGTCACCTCGAACCGAGCTTCAGCCCTATTGGCTGGTCGGATCCCACGCGACACTTACCGAAAATCTGGCGAACTTCGTACGCGTCGCCACTACCCGCAGGTAACCCCGAGGGGTCTTGCGTGGAACTTTGGGTAGTCTGGGGTGGGGTTACCCACGGGTGTCCCACACTCCAAAAGAAAGAATGGGTCTCAAGAATTTTGGGATGTGCTGCCTCTTGCTCTGCAGCTACTGCCAATGCCGCAGCTCCTGCAGTTACTGCCGCTGCAGCCACTTTCGCCGCCGCCGCTGCCACTGTCGCCGATGCTGCTGTCACTGCCGGTGCTGCCACTTGCGCTGCCGCCGCTGCCACTGCCGCAGCCGCTGCAGCCACTGCCGCTGCCGCCACTGCCCCTACCGCAATTGCTGCAGTCCCTGCCGCTGCCGCAGCCACCGCTGCCGCAGCCACCACTGCCACCGCTGCCATTGCCGCTGCAGCTGCTGCCCTTGCAGCCACCGCTGCCGCCGCTGCCCTTGCAGCTGTCGCTGCAGCTGCTGCCCTTGCAGCGCCACTGCCGCCACTGCCCTTGCAGCCACCGTTGCCACCACTACCGCCGCCGCCCTTGCAGCCGCCGCTGCCTCCGCTGCCCTTATAGCCGTCTCTGCCGCTGCTGCCCTCGCAGCTGCTCCGCTGCCTCCTGCAGTTGCCACTGCCGCTGCAGCCACCACTGCCACTGCTCTTGCTGCCAGCAGCCACTGCCACTGCAGCCACTGCTGCCACCACTGCCACGGCTCGCCCGTCGCTACGCAGCCGCCTCTGCCAGCCAGCTCACTGCTTGCCCACCGCCATTACCATCCCGCTGCTAGCTAGCAGCCGCCGCTACCACCGGCTCCAGCTGCAGCCCCTGTCCCGGCTGCCCCTGTAGCGGCTGCCAGCACTGTCCCTGCTTCTGCCGCCTCTTTTTTCCCGGCCGCAGCTGCCTGCATGGCGTCGCCCGGCGTCTTCGTCCTGCGCCTGGATGGGGAGGGGCGGGCAGTCGGTTTCGTTGCTTGGCAGGAGGCAGTTCTCCTTCAGCTCACGAGTCTGCGCGTCGATGACGAGTCCCTGGACGCCCACGTCTCTGGTGAGCTCCCTGCTGTCCCCCGCCCGGGCGCTCTTGCTACTGACGCGACGTCTGCGCAACAGGCTGTGCACGCTGCTGCTCATACTGCCTACTCTAACTAGGCATCCCGCAATGCTACTGCTCGTGTAGCCATGCTCAGGTGCCTGCCGGTTGACGAGCACTCCCACTTTGTGGGGGCTGCGTCAGCCCGTGCACTCTGGCTGGCTATCCTTGCTAGGTACTCCACCCCGTCATCTGCCACTCTTGGTCGTCTCCTCCTCTCCTTCTTCCTTCCTGACCGGACGTCCTTCACCACTGTACGAGACTTAGTCAAGCACCTGCGCTCCCTCAAGGCCCGCTGGCGTGCGGCTTGTACTGAGGCTCAGATAGTGCTCGCCCTGCCCCCCCTCTTCGCCACTATCTACTTCCTTGTCACCCGCCTCCCTGACCGCCTAGCCCCTGCTCGCGACGCGCTCCTCGCTCGTCACCCCTCTGAGCTAACCCTTGACCTCTTCTCCACCTCCTTGACTGAGGTAGAGGACCGCCTCTGTGCCATCGCTGGTTCCACTAGCGCGCTGGCAGTCCCTATCTTTCAGGGCAGCGCTCCCTCCCCAGTGACTGTCCCTGCCTCCGCCTATGTTGCTGAGACTGCAGCAGCTACCTCTGCCCCCGACCGCTCCTCTAGCAGCAAGGGCAAGGGTCGTGGGGGGTCGGCAGCAGCGGGTAGAGGGGGTGCGGGTGCGGATGGAGAGGGTGGTCAGTTAGAGTCGGGGACTGCGCAGCAGCCGCAGCAGCAACAGCGACAGCAACAGCAGCAACAGCAGCCGCAACAGTCGTGGGGGCCGACGGGCCCTGGGGGTGGTGGTCGTGGTGGAGGCCGTAGGGGTTGGGGCCCAGGGCATTCGGGGCTTTGGGGATTGCATGGCTCCTCTCTGAGTCCGGGTGCTGGTGGTTCTGGTGGCGTGGTGACCTGCACGTACCAGCTGCTGACTGGCCCAAAGACGGGCCAGGTGTGCCAGCGTACGGGGCAAACCGCCGCTCGCTGCTTCCGCCGCCTGGACGACCTCTACCGTCGTCAGTTTGGCCTGCTCGTGCAGGTACCCCCCTGGCATATCTTGCTTGGTCGTGGGGTTCCTATCTTTGATATGGATATGCTTTAGATCAATCATGCTTTGTACTCTTTGTATTCTAATGCTTCTAGTGTTGCAAGTTCTTATTATCCTGCTGTTTGTAGCCTTGGAGCTACCGCTATGTGTAGTCTAGGATCCCCTGCTGCGTCAGGCGTAGGACCTATTTAGGACTCTTCACTGGGCTCACCCACATCGGCCCTCTCCTTTGTCCTCGACTCTGGCGCGACTCGGTGCTTTTTTTGAGACAGTACAACTCTCACCCTGCTTCCTGCGCCTGTCCGCGTTGCACTTGCAAACTCCTCC